ACCAAGATATATTAAAGATGGTAGGATGACTCGCCGCCATTATGTAAGACAGAATGCGGCGCCAGTTAAAATCGCTCCCTAGATGTCGCCACCCATCCCAGTGTACTTCACAAAACTGTCAATTTATTCAACACGTCATTTAAATTTGAATTAAACCATCAAATATGAGAAAGTGTTTGATTTGAGACCACAATACGCCCTTAACTAGTGATGCATCTTTATTTCAAGTTCCTTCAGTATGTAATTGAAGCATTTCGACTTTTTTTTAGTCAAAATAATTTACCTACTTTGTGTAAATGCAATAATTACAATTCTTGTTTTGTAGATTGTCACAACGCGCAGCTTCAAAAAAATATGCGAAACTAGCAAAATTGGTCTAGTGTCTAGTTAAACTGTTGACGTTTATTATAGAAAATTTATTTGTAAATATTTGTAAAAAATGTAACAGGTTGTTTCCCTGATAATTATATGGAAAAAGGGTATGTTTTAACGCATCTTTATTTTAAATTTCCATGGAAAGTAGGAGAGCGACAACTAAGTAATTGTACTCGGCATGAGACCGACAGCAAGGAAGCTGTGCAGAAGTGTAGTGTAGTTGTGTTTCCCACACACTGTGATGGGAGTGATTGTCATTCTTCTGAAGTCCGAAGTTGGTCGTTTTGCAGAGGCGTTAGATGGGAAGTTGACTAAGGTTAGGATAAGCCACATTTTCCTACTTCCGTTTTGTAGTTCAGCCTCCAGCACTGCCACACTCCTGGAACGGAAGTTGGTTAAAGTTATTGCACTAGTCCCCTTCTATCAAGAATTTAGATCCCTGGAGCTTCCGAGATTAAGTTATAAAATAACAAGGTAGGTTGAACAAGTCGGGTCCCCTACCTTCCATCTTAACAGTAATAATGTAGACTTTTGCTAGTTCCTCTAATCCACATCTCAGCAGCCGAGAATCTCTGTAATCAAACGGACAATAATGATTTTGTGTCAGAGGTTCTTACATCTCTCGGCATGATTGCTTACACCGTAGATTGTGTAGGTGAGGGTCATTTGATGCTTCTCTTAATATACGAAGGGTGGCTCCTGGTTTGTTCACATGGTTTACATTGATCAATGACCTGTTGACTTCGCTTGATCCAGTACAAGCTCCGACAGCTAGGCGAGGTGAGAAGTCAGTAATGCAGGTATTGCGCTACTATTTACTGTGATAACGAGTATCCTTTTCAGTGGAATCCCCCATTCCTCTGTAACTTTTAACTTTAGCAAAGTGAACAGTGCGAAGTGCAAGTTTGCTTGCTTATACATCCAATTAGTACCTACTTGTCTATTTTATTTACCGAAATTGTTTGCAATAATAACTAGGTATAACACACTGTAGATGCCAAACCACACCAAGTCGCTAAGTACAAAATTTTTGGTCATAACATCATAACCTAAAACAATTTAAATGACATTCATTTGAAGTACACTGATCACCCTGGCGCCATCTATGGATTGAGTTTACCTAGCGCCGCATTTGGCGTCAAATTTTACAGGTATAAGCGCGCCTACCAGTCTCTATATATCTTGGAAGTACCTATAGGTGTATCTTTTTACATTATAAGTGAGGAAATCGACTTTAACTTAACTAGACAAACTGAGCTGAATTTATCTAGGCAATCGCTCCGCTAAAAAGTAATACCTATTCTTTTGTACAAGCAAGAAAAACATATCCTTAAAAATTGTTGATGAGTGATAATTAATTCTTTGTCTTTTTTAAATGTTAATAGTCACATCACAACTAACTGAAAATAATATACACTGCATTGAATGAATGGGTACTAAAGTTTATTGTTGACATTTTTACACAATTATAACCTCAAACTTAAAATTCCAATCCGGCTCAATTTAAAACTCTACCTAACAGCAAGCTCAGTTGGGGTAAAGGGGGAGGTAAAATGACTTAGTTCGTCTCAGTTGTTGACAGCTAAAAAGAATAACTTTTCTCAATTAGTAACTGAGATAAGCTGAGACGCTCACTTAAAAGTGGTAAAAAGAATACAGCTTATATAAGAGAAGTATATGGATAAACGAGTGGACACGCCTATCGCCAACGTTAGTGGATGGAAATATACTTCTGTCATTAGTTGGGAACTAGGCGCTAATGCGCTTGCGTGTTATTATGTAGTGTTATTTACCAAGGATTTACTCCACTCCAGTTTGACATAACGGATTGAGGTTAAATTGTTTGTTTTGTTTATGAGTTATTGAACTTTTGTTTAATTTTAATAGTAAAGAAGCCTTTCGTAGTTATATAAATCAGTATACGTAAGTGATACACAATAATTGTAAAGGAATACCTAATGTTTGGCAATTTTAGTGTGTTCATTACTTAGAAATAAAGAAATGCAGGTACTTGTGGGAAAGTGGATTCTTCGGTTTCATGGCACAAGTAAGTTACAATGCAATTATCTGCAATCAATTCATTTATGCCATACTTGTTATTAGATTCCCAAGTGAAAAAAGCAACAAGAATCGGTGACTGCAAGCATGTGAACTATCGGAATTCGATGATGTAAAAACAAGGTTGTGTTCTCGTCATTTTAACCGCTATGACTGCATTGATTTGGATGCACGCAAGCATGATGGGGGCACGAAGTTATATGGGGGTCACTTAACACCTAAAAGATTTCCAACTTGACAATGTTAATTTTATTTTAAAACCAGTAAATGTCTTTAATTTAATTGTGTTTCTTTGAACATTGGTAATGTATCACTTTATATTATAGCTGATGCGAACTTATCCAATTTCATGTTATATTCAAGATATAATCCCTATAGGTATATCATTTCAATTGCAATTTAAGTTTCTAAATCGTTACAAAGTTTGCCTTCGAAGTTGAAGGGTGTAACCGTAAACAAACTCCGCTGAGGAAGCTCGAAAGTTCTCCGTGAAAATGCTACAGTTTCCAAGCAGAACGATACGGAGTACCTTGAACCAGAACGCACTGGGTGGCACGTGAGCGCTGATTTGAGTTGGCAGTGAAATCATTCAAGTAGGCCATTGACTGCAGGTCCCGAATCCTTGTGTGTCGAAAACAATGTTGAGGGCACAAAAAAGGGAAGATTCAAATTGTCGTCGCTGATCGGTGAAGATGCTAGTAGGGGAATCGAAGCGATATAGTCAACAGGTAAGAAACGCTTCGGCGGCGATTGGTCTTGGGAGGGTGGGCCTCGGCCAGCTAGTATACTTATCTAAAGACATCACAGGATCAGACAATAGTGATAGGAGTCGGCAGGTGGAATGGGGCCAATGTGTTGAATATGAACCTGCATGAAGCGAATAGAAGTCTGGGTGAAGTTTCCGAATGGTGCGTGGTTGTGTTTAAATATGGTAATTGCACACAATAATGGTTTAATAAAATTTTAACCCTATTTTCGAGTTATAGGTTATGAAATTTGAAATTGGCGCTACTTAAAAGTAGGCGGAGAGAAGTAAATATTTACTTGGGGAGTTTGCGCATAAATACAGAGTTGAGGACTAAGGAATAGGGCAGCTCTCTTTTATGGCGAACAATTTGCACATTGCAATCATAGGCGGTTATCCATATACTTCTCTTATATATATTATATATATGGGAAGTACCCAAGGAAGTACCTACTTGTACTAACTAGTAACTGCCAACTTAAGAGATGAGTTACCAAAAAAAAACGACTATAATCACTGTCTTTGTACAACTGTTTTCGGCCGAAAACAGTTGTACAAAATCATCATTGTGACACCGAAATAGAAAAAATAGTATGAAAAACGCGTGTTACAATGCTTTATTGTAATACTCCTATCTTGCGGACACTCGTGGCTAATCGAAAAGGAGCAATTAATTAGCAAATAAAAAGCTGTGTCGAGTTATAAAGAATTTTTCTTATAAATAAATTTTGTTATGTCTCTATTTCTTTAATTTTTTGTGTCAAACACATGTCCAAAAAGTCACGTAACTTGAGACATACTGTAATTAGGGATCTATCATAAAAAACAGAATCAGTTATTATAAAAATTAGAGCCATAACACTGTAAAAACGTCGTTACGGTAAAATAGTTATTCAAAATATGGCCGTAGTGTTAGATTAAAAACTAAACTTTTTTACTTGCGCACGCACATAGTTCTGGAAAAAAGCGCATTTTTTTAGTACAGCTACCACCTTAAATAGTTTGAGGACAGCGATATTTAATTAAATGCTGCCCATCAACATAATAAATCATCCATTTTTAGTTCCTACTCATCGACACGATGTGTTTGATAACCTAGAAGTGGGTAGTTTGACTAGAATCTACTTTTTTATCTATTTTTCAACATATGTTTTTTTCTTTGATTTTTAGTATCTTTATATAATGTTATAGGGAAAAGGAAAGTATTCTGCCAAATGTAGAAATCATTGCCAATATTACCGAATCTTCACCTGAATCCCCAGAGATAGAAAAAAGGAAAACGTAATATTTTCCATATCGATTTTTTATGTGTTTATCTTTATACCGTTTTAGGGTAGAGAACAATGATTTTCCAAATGAAGAGGAAATTTTTAGTGCTACCGAACCATCACTGGCGCCTATTGTAAAAGGGAATAAAAGGTAGGTAATTCAAGTATTTTATAATCATTTCTCGCACACCAGCTTCATACAAGATGTGTCTTCACAAAAACGAAAAAGTGGCGACTGTGTTAAAAGGTTTTTAACACACTCTGGAAGGATCACTTATTCTAATTCACACACAATTGCTATGAAACTCACCATTCTCATTTTGATTGTGACTAAAAAAACTTAATTTTTGTTTTAGGAATTCAACCTCAGCCGTGTCTATCGATGGGCTACGAGTAGTAGACCTACAAAAATTCATCGAGTCTTTGAAAACCTTATCTACTCATTCCACATTATTTGGGTGCAGTTTAGTGAATTTGCAAGTAGTAAAAGAACTAAAAGTGGGTTACCAAACCAAACTTACTTTTAAATGCGATATGTGTGGTTTTTCTAAATCTATATATACCTGTCCAGAAAGTCCACAAAGCGTAGACGTGAATACGTCAGCAGTTACCGCAGTCATGAACGTAGGAGGCGGTTACACACAACTCGTAAATATTACTGGTGCAATGAACATTCCGAGTTTAAGTTTTTCTTTATACAAGAAGATTCATAGTGAAATATGCACTGCATGGGAAGACCTTGCTTGGAAATCCATGAAAGAGGCTGCAGAAGAAGAAAAAATGATAGCTTTACAATGTGGCAGCGTAGACGTAAATGGAACGCCAATGATTACTGTAGTTGGCGACGGAAGCTGGGCCAAGCGTTCATACAGAGGGACAGGAAATTATAATTCCCTTTCTGGAACTGCTGCAATAGTAGGGTTAAAATCAAAAAAGATTCTGTATTTAGGTGTTAAGAACAAGTACTGCTGTGTATGCCAAAGGGCTAAAAATATCGGCACTGAAGCTGCCGCGCACACGTGCTATAAAAACTGGAACCTTTCTTCAACGGCAATGGAAGCGAACATTATAGCTGAAGGTTTTTGTGCAAGCCTTGAAATGTATGGGCTTATTTATAATAAACTTATAGCTGATGGTGACAGTAGCTGTTACAAAAAACTACTAGATAGTAGACCGTATGAAACCTGTACAGTGGAGAAAATTGAATGTAGCAATCATTTACTCAGAAATTATTGCAATAAACTGAAGGAACTTTCCAAGATGAGGGGTATTCCTGGATCACTAAAAAATATTTTGTCAAACAACATTTTACGCTGCAGAACGGCGGTGGTGAAGGCAATTAAGTATAGAAGGAGTGAAGCCAATACAAGCTTAGAAGATAATATCAAAAACCTGAGAAAGGACATCATCAATAGCGTAAGCCATATATTTGGAGAACATTTGAATTGTTCGGAATTACGCTATTTTTGTGAAAAAACGGAACCTGACCAAAATAATTACATGTCTGATTTTCGAACATTAAACCTCGATGAAAAGCTAATGGACGCAGTAAGGTATTTGGCAGGACACTCTAGAAGCTTACTCGAAAACGTTACGACAAATGTAGTAGAACAGTTTAATTCAATTATTGCACAAAAACTTGGCGGAAAACGTGTGAACTATACCCAGCGAAGATGTTACCAAGGCCGATGTTACTCTGCAGTTGTTTCAAAAAACTGTAAACAACCGTTATACAACGTGCATAAACACTTAACTGGCGGGTATAGCCCCGGAAAGACTGTACAAGAAATGGAAATGCGTAAATTAAGAAGGCAAAATGTTCACAAGCAAAGCAGAGCCAGAAAAAAATTAATATTTTCTTCTGCCTCCACAGACGCTGACTATGGAGATAATTGCCAGAAGCCAGATGTTGATCAAGAGACGTTTGAGGAAATGAAAAGCGAGTTTATAAGAGCACTTCATAAATCAACAGCTGAATATGAAGAAATTGAAAAGAAAACGCGTCTACAAGCCGATTCATCTGAATGGAAGCACTATCGAAGAAAATTATTAACATCCTCCATATTTGGAAAAATTTGCAAAATGCGAAAATCAACAAGTTGTTCATCAACTGTAAAAGGCACTTTGTATACAGAATTTTTTTCGAAGGCAACGACCTGGGGAAAAAATAATGAAGACCGAGCAAAACGAGAATTAGAATCAAAATTTGGTTTGCAAATTTCCAGCTGTGGCCTTTTTATAAATGAAGATTGGCCATTTCTTGGTGCTTCTCCAGATGGAATTGAAGTGAATTCAGGATGTCTGGTAGAAATTAAATGTCCGTACTCAGCCAGAAACAATACTATTAAAGAAGCAGTTGCAAATAAACTGATAACATATTTGGACATAGAAGGTGATACCTATAATTTAAAGACCAGTCATAATTATTACTACCAAGTCCAGGGGCAATTGAATATATCAGACAAAGAACAATGTTATTTTGCGGTATGGACTCCAAAGGAAATTGTCTGTATAAAAATTCCAATTGATAGAACTTTTTTTATAAATTCAATGCTACCAAAATTACATAAATTTTATTTTAATTGTCTCTTGCCTGAAATTATAGACCCTAGACATACAAGAGGATTAGAAATAAGAAACCCGGAGTATATAACCAATGCACAAAGTGATAAAGTAAACACCTAAAAACACTATACAGCGTGTTTCAAAATGAATAGAGGGGTTTCAACATGTTATAATATTTGATAGATGAAACTTACAGCCACAAGTGATATATCAACTGAAAGAGAAACTCAAACAGTTTTTGTTTGTTGGCATCAGTGCGTATGTTTCCGCCGCAATCCGCTAGAAAGCGCTAATAGCAAAGATGGCGACTAAAGAACAGAAAGCGTTTTGTGTTTTACAGTTTGCAAAGACGGAATCTGTTGTTACTGTGCAACGTGCGTTCCGGATTAAGTTCGGTTGTGCTCCTCCAGGTGATAACAACATTCGTAGATGGTATCATCAGTTTCAAGACACTGGCTGCCTTTGTAAAGGCAAGAGTACGGGACGACCACGAACTAGTGAAGAGAGCGTTGAGCAAGTGCGTAATTCGTTGACGCGTAGCCCTATGAAATCCGTTCGGAAGGCTAGTCGTGAATTAGCAATTCCTGTGACGACTGTTTGGAGAGTTTTACGGCGACGCTTAGAGCTACGTCCTTATCGTTTGCAGTTGTTACAGGCTCTGAAGCCTACCGACCATCTTTTACGTGCCAACTTCGCTAACGACATGTTGTTGCATGACAATGAAGATTTTCTGGATCTTGTCGTCTTCAGTGATGAATCGACCTTTCACCTTAGTGGTCGAGTTAACACCCATAATGTTAGGATTTGGGGCTCAGAAAATCCCCACATGATGGTACAAGTGCAACGAGACTCTCCTAAATTGAATGTTTTTTGTGCCATATCTCGGCAGAAAATTTATGGTCCTTTCTTTTTTGGTGAAGCAACTATCACTGGTACTTCTTATCTGGATACGTTACAGCAATGGCTCTTCCCTCAACTGACACATGATGAACCACAAAACTTCATCTTTCAGCAAGATGGTGCGCCGCCTCACTGGCATAATGAGGTACGCGATTGGCTTAACCTAACTGTACCCTACCGCTGGATTGGCCGTAAGGGGCCTAATGACAGGGCTTGTTTCGCATGGCCTCCACGGTCACCCGACCTAACCCCGTGTGATTTTTATCTTTGGGGGTTTATTAAGGACCGTGTGTATGTGCCTCCACTGCCAGCCGACCTTCCCGATTTAAGAAACAGGATTGAAACAGCTGTTGCAGCAATTACTAATGAGACACTCATCAAAGTTTGGGAAGAACTAGCATACCGTCTTGACGTATGCCAAGTGACGAATGGTGCTCACATTGAACACTTGTAGGCTATAATGTAAAACTGTTTGAGTTTCTCTTTCATTTGATATAACAATTGTGGCTGTAAGTTTGATGTATTAAATATTATAACATGTTAAAACCCCTCTATTCATTTTGAAACACGCTGTATATAAAAATATTCCATTTTTTTTCCTTACTGCTGTGAATGAGTCGTGTATCTTATGACTATAAGAATTAAACCATTGTACATAATAAATAAATATTTTTAACATAAGGTATTTTTGTGTTGCTTAAAGCTAATTTGAAAATTCCCGAAAGATTCCCTTATTTATGCGTACAAAGGAAAATAAGTTGAGGCATTTAATATTCTTATAAATAAGAAACTTAGCCTTTGAGTAGTCTGCGCAGTGCGCATGCACACACCTAATGTTTACAATATGCGATATGTTTGCCTTTACTAGATGAATCTTCGGTTAAAATTTCCAAAAAATATCTATAAATCTGATTTTTACAATATACGATTGTTGCGCCTAAGTTGGTGTTTATTTTTGTAGATATGTGTTAATACTTCCAATATATATATATCGATGGAAGGGTGAGCGTGAGGATGTTATATTTGATGAAATATGGTCGCCATGACTCCCGCTGCTTTATGCCCAATAAACATCGTATTATACGTTTTTGTACCTAGGTTTTCGCAAAACTGCAAGGTAATATCTAATCTTTTAAATTTACTGAGTTGACTGATTGCTGGTACGCAAAAATTCATCCAGAATAGTAGGAACAATTGTAACTATTTTTTATCACGAAATTTATTTCCTAACTAAGTAAGCCTCAAGTTTGAGTTATAGGGCATGGAGTCGAACAACTAACACAAGTTAAACCCGAGGCTAAACCACTTGTTACAATTTTCAAATGGTTCACGATGAAGTACCGAAATATATTATCGTGTAATGGATTCTTAATTATAAATTGTATACTGCGTCGCGCAAGGCACTATCCGGTATGGTATAGCAGTGCAAATTTGAAAGTACGCGTACCTTACGAATAAGTTCAAATACGTTCCTTTCAAATCGGTCAGAAAATACTGCAGTAGGGATATGCTAATGCCCGCCTCCGACTGCGATCCTCTCCACCCGACCGCGGAGCGCTTCCCTAGCCGTATGTAGAGAACGTACTCTTAACAGCTATTGGTCTACTTTTTTCGCTGTTTGGTTCGTTATGGTGTCGAGGCTTGCACCAAAGAAGGAATTTTTTCTGCGTTTATTGCTAAAAAAGTTATTGTAAAAAAACCAAAAAACCGTTTTTTACATGTTCCATAATTCTTTGCCGTCTATTAACGATCCTAGAGATCATTTATAATTTTGTATTGCTGTCTGTCGTCTGTCTGTTGGTCCGTCCGTCTGTTTCTTTGTCTGTCTGTCGCTCTATCTGTCCGTGTGTACGATAACTTTGTTTAGAAATATCCGATCGCTTTCAGATCTCCGTTAGTTATGAACTGAATTGCATGAAATTCAATATGGGCATAGCTTTAGCCATATAATACGCAATGCCAAAAGTTGAGTCGAATCGATTCAAAATTCACAGTGCCCTTTTCGCATCGCGACCATTTATAAACCGAATTGCAAACTTTTTTATTAATAAAAGTATTTGAATGAAATTTGATACTTGGAATAAATGAAAATCTAACGCCAGTTTCAAAATTTGGTTTTGCGCATGCGCAGTGCCAACTGTTTTATTTATAGAAGAATTTAAACGAAATTTGATACATGGGCACTTGGAATACAGGAAAACACTGAGCTACCCGTCGGAAACTTTTAAAAAAATTACATCATTTTAGTAAACAGTCAAAATTAAAGATGCGTTCAAGAGTTTTCAACCGTGTTGGTGGATTTTGCTTCGCCTACAATTTTTGCCCCGTGAAGTTTCAATGTGGAATGTTTTGAAAACTACACCTTCAAATCTAAGGCAAATTACGTCTACTACGGAGAGCGGAGGCCACATACTCAAGGGGACAGGTCCATGTGAACAATGTTATTGACACTTGTGCTGCTCTGCAAATAAAAAAACCTTAAGGCTTGGGCCCCTAGCGTAAGTTTATACTATTTTAGTTATTATGACTTTTAATAATCGGTGACTTGATTATTGATGACTTGCCTGTAGATATTATAGTATGTTTATTGGGTAGTTTCAAAAAGTAAAAAAAATACTTACTTGTCTGTATCTAAACAATGGGCCGCTGTAAGGACAAACCTTTCGCTTATTAAAGCTCCTCCACATAACCAGGTGAATGGAGGTGAGTTAGTATTACCAAATCCAATAACAGCCTGCAAATACTTTGCATTAGAAATGATGCCAACAGATATCATATAGTTTAGAAAACAAATCAAAAATCCTGCGGTGATTTCAAGATTGGTGTCACTGTTCCACTTCATTGTTCTATGCAACAACTACACTGAAACTATAGTCCAGTAAGTGGGGGTTTTTGGAATGCAAAAGGTGGGGTAGTAGCGATTTTTAGCGCATTTCCATAGAAATAAAAAAAATGCGCTATTGTGAGCACTTTGTCCGTCCGTCCGTCCGCTCGTTCGTTGAAACGCTACTAGTTCTTCATTTTAAAGAGCTATTGTTCTACTTTTTTTCGCTATTTGGTTCGTTATGATGTCGAGGCTTGCACCAAGGAAGGTTTATTGCTATAAAAAGTTATTGTAAAAATCCAATAAACCGTTTTTTACATGTTCCATAATTTTACACTTTTGCCGTTTATTAACGATCCTAGAGATCGTTTATAATTTTGTATTGCTGTCTGTCGTCTGTCTGTTGGTCTGTCCGTCTGTTCCTTTATCTGTCTGTCCTTCTATCTGTCCGTGTGAACGATATCTTTGTTTAGAAATGTCCGATCGCTTTGACATCTCCGTTAGTTATGAACTGAATTGCATGAAATTTAATATGAGCATAGCTTTAGCCATATAATACGCAATGCTAAAAGTTGAGTCGAATCGATTCAAAATTTACAGTGCCCTTTTCGCATCTCTACCATTTATAAACCGAATTGCAAACTTTTTTTTATAACAGTATTTAAATGAAATTTGATACATAGCCACTTGGAATAAAAGCAAATGTAGCGCCATTTTCTAAATTTGGTTTTGTGTAAGATGTGCAGTGCCAACTTTCTTATTTATGGAAGCAATTAAATGAAATTTCATACATATACCTACACTTTAAATAAAAGCAAAAATAACATCAGGTTAAAAATTTGGTTTTGCACATGCTATAGCCATACCCAGGAGCTCGTTTTCTATATTTGTTTAGTTTATTTAGACGCCAAATCGTAATTGGTAATCTCCATTACAAAGGTCACCCAAACTCGCGACCCATGGTCCAAGTGCTTTCATTAACTCTCATTTTGTTACCTTTTTAAATCAAGATCTACCTAGGTATCTGCAAATACTATAGATATAAAGGTTATAGTCTTTGATAACACTTTTCACTGATTAGCGTGACATAAAAAATATACAGTGCCTGCGCATTTAGCCATTTACATACATACCATATGAGGAAATTCGTTTTTGGTAGCTTTAGTTCCACCCACTATTAAGGGAACTTCAACAATACCACATTCAGAAACAGTATCCTTTCGGCTGCCAGGTAAAAGTAGAGGGCTATTCTGTTGAGCATAAACAGCTTTCGAATATTCCATACATTCTAAATGTGTTACGTTAGAATAATATGTAGTTTACAATACGGGCTTACTTTGTTTGGCAAGTTCCCCGGCACCAAAAACGCCACAAAGATGCACAAGAAGTATTATTATGGGCCGCATGAGTATTTTTTACGTACCAATTAATAAAACATATTGACTGCG